GAAGAAGGGTCTAGGCCCGAAACGTCAGCCTTCCTGCTCCTCTGAGGCTGCTTGGCCTGCTGTGTTCATCCAGCTCTACACCTTGGCTAAATTCAAACACCTGTTGACTTGGTAAAATCTGCTGCTTGGCCTACTAACTGTACAGCCTTTTGACACAGATGTTTCAATTTGGGTGCTATCTGTGTACTTGCAAAATTCCAACCTGCTGCTCACAAACATCCATTTTAAATCTCTAAGCACAGAAAAAGCACATGATCTTTTAAAAGGACCACGCAATGCTTTCCCCCCCTCCCCACGCATTTTACAAACACCAAATCTTAACTTTCTGCCTCCCAATCCACAAGTACTCTACCCAACTTTGCAACATTTTTTCCAAAGTAAAGCTATAAACACAGGCAAGCAAAAAATATGAATTATCAACAAATAACTACTAGCTGAAACTCGAAACCCTTTGCAAAGCCTTACATATGTGCAGACACAAACAAATAAACAAGCATGGATATTCTGGGTGGAGGAGAAAATGTTGGGGAAACATAGCTGAATAGTTGAAATAAACTACAATGGCAAACTAGCAAGAAAAATAAAATCTGAAAGTAAGAGCTTTTGTAAACATTTAAAAAGGAAGAGAGAGGTCAAAATTACGAGAGGCCCCTTAAAAAATAAATCTGGAGAGATGGTTATTGGGAACAAGGAAATGCCAGAGGAGTTAAATAGATATTTTGCATTCATCTTTACGGTGGAAAATACTTTGAGCATCCAATTAATACTGAATAATAAAGGGGAGGAATTAAGTACCATCACCATTACTAGAGAAGTAGTATTAGACAAACTGATGGGGCTAAAGGCAGATAAGTTAAAGGTTTGCATCCGGGGATCACAAAAGAGGTAGCTAAAGAGATAGTAGATGCATTGGTTGTAATTTTACAAAATTCTTGGATTCTGGAGAAATGCCAGAGTGTTGGAAAACTGTCAATGTGACTCCCCTGTTCAGAAAGGGAAGGAAGCAAAAAGCAGGAGGCAAATAGCCTGATTAGCCTAATATCAATGGTGAATGTTGGAATCAATTATTAAGGAAGTAATAGCAGCACATTTGGAAAATCATAATCTAATCAAGCACAGTAAACATGGCTTCATGAAAGGGAAATTGTGTTGACTAATTTATGAGAGTTTTTTGAGGAGATCTGAACCAGAATGAATAGTGGGGAACCAGTAAATGCATTGCATTTTCAATTCTAGAAGGTGTTCAACAAGATACCTCACAAATGGTTAAGTCATAAGACAAGAGCCCATGGTAATGGATTGAGAATTAGCTAATGGGCAGGATACAGCAAGTCAGGATAAGGGGCTCTTTTTCAGGTTAGCAACCTGGAACCAGTTGAGTTCCATAGGGATCATTGTTGGGACTGCAAATGTTTACTATATAGTGGAAGGAAACATATGTACTGTTGCCAAATTTGTACACAACATAAAAATAGGTGGAAAGGCAAGATGCAGAGGGGAGAGAACAGTTTACAGAGAGTTATTGATAGGTTAACTAAGTGGGTAAGAAGTTCACAAAATGAGTTGAATGTGGGAAAATGCAAAGGTATTCATTTTGGAAGAACATTTCATTCAAGAGGCTCATTTCGGTTTTGGTTAATTCATTACACAGTGTGAAAAAAGGAGGGATGTTCTCTCTTGATGTCTGGAGACCTTCTGCCCTGTATTTTTCGCACACAAGGTGAACACGTGTCCGGGAACCAATCAGAGATTTGTTGTCATGCTGATGACTCCTGGCCTCTACAACCATGCAGGGGAAGGTCGTGGCTTAGTGGCATTATTGCCAGACACTTAATTCAGATACCCCGGTAATGTCACAAGGACCTGGGTTCAAATCCTGCCATGGCAAATAGTGGAATGTGAATTTAATATATGTCTGGAATTAAAAGTCTAATGATGGTCATTGTTGGGAGAACCTACATGTTCAACCAATGCCTTTTCAGGAAGGATACTAACATCTGTGACTCTAGATCCACAGCAATAACTGCCTTCTGGTCATTAGGGAGGGATACTAAATGTTGATATAACATCCTACTCATCCTGTGAATGAATTAAAATAATATTGAAGACCCAAACATTCTGTTTCTGTGCGAAGCTTTCTCTGAACAAATAGGTTGTGCTGTTGGGTTTCAAACATTTCTCCCCACTGACTAAACAATGCAACAATATAAACACAATCAAAATGTGTAACTTCCTTTTAAAAATGCGACAAATTCTTCTTGGTTAGAAGCAGTCCTTTTCATCAATTTGGTCCACATTCCAAAAAAAAGTAAAAAGATATGGTCTTCACAATTAAATTTGTTAGTCTGTGCATGCGTGATTATGTAAGACAATTGACATCCTATTTTCATTGCTCATTTTGTTAAAATATTTCCTCTCTTTTAATGTGATAGTATCAAGGTACAGTTTGAAGAAAACAAGTTTGCTTGATGTGACTAACTGTTAGCTTTCTAAAGCATCTGTCCACAATAAGAAACCATACCAACACTTAGGAAAGCTGCACACAAGAATGGTTCCTTCTCTAAGCCTTCTCCATGCAATTCATCAAATAAGGGGTTCAGATTCTGGCATCAACGACCTACATTAGCATTTACTATGTGGTTGACTTGCTGTTTGGCAGGAGCACAGGCTTCATTATGGTCTCCAGACAACATCAACTGTGCGATGACCTTTTAGGAGACTTATTGTAAGTTATTAGATATGAATTATAAAAGGGTAATTTGTGTATTTTATTAACTGCAGGTGGGCTGTAATTTTCCTTGGGATTAAATAGCATGGAAAACAACAGAGTTTTGAATTTGAATTAATTCAAACTGAATGGATTTGATTTTAATCAGTGCAAATTACACATTATTTAACAAATTGGACCAATGCCATTTTGTAAGTTGTTCTTTGGGAAAATAAAGTTATTATTATTTAAATTATATTTGTGTCAATGGAGCGGCTGTTGCATGTTTAGTTGGTTGGGGTTAGGGATTGATCCGTGTTGAGTCATCACTTGATCTAATTTATTTTTCTTCTGAACCTGCATTAAAATGTGATTGCTGTACTGTGAATATGAAACACCAGCACATCAGCAAGACCACTGGTTTTTACTTCCAACGCAACCCCGTCTTGTCCATCTTTTAGTAAGGTCCAAGTGCTACTCATAAACATACAAAATCAATAAGATGAGGCTAACTGGTCCATCAAGCCTGTTCCATGCCATGATGTTTGGAGACATGATGAGACACTTCTTTTCCCCACCCACAGAGCCAACTGAACTCCTGGGAGAAATGAAAGAGCAGAAAGCAAGATACATCCGGAAATAAATATTCTGGAAATTTCCTCCCCAAAGCCCACAAACAATGAAAACCACTCTCGGTAATTGCATGGACCAAGTCATGTCAACCTCTTCATGTTTATCTGCAAAAGCTCCAATTTATTCAGAAGTCTGTCTCCTGCATCCTATTCAAATCTACATCTTATTCATCTCTGAGATTAGTCCTTGCAATTTTCATTATTTTCTGTGACTTTAGGGGTGGATTTTATGATTATATGCTCGGGCCAGTCTTGACACTTGGGCGAGTGACTTCTACCCCAGGCACAGGACATCTTGCCAGCCAATCCGATTACAAAGCAGCTGAGAAGTTCCAACAGTTCCAGAAGCAGGTTTTGGCCATTGCTGAGATCTCAATGAGTCCCATGAAGAAGGAAGATAGGAATCAACATTGAGGTAAGTCCAGGGTTTTTGGTCGGAGAGGAATTGGGGATCCTAGCAAGATGGGGGTGCAGAAGTGGTGAGAATTTAGAAAATGCATCGGTTCAATCTTGGGAGGCTGCCCCTAAGGACACAGTGATATTCCCAAAGAAGGCAATCCCCTCACTTCCTTTTACACTTAGCTGTTAAACTTTGCAGTATGTTCATCTTCCATTTAGCTTGCCCACTGAAAGTTTTGAGATAGATTTAAGTTTTAATTTAACTTTAATACTTCTTTTTGTTAAAAAGTTCCTCAAAGCACAGCTTTTTGAACCAGCCTTTGAAGAGCTCCCTTCAACCTATATCCATTTGTTCCTTTGAGTTCTTTTCTTTCTCCTTATCAACTGCTACCGAGCCTCCATCCCACGACAAAGTTCTTTTGGTGCAATATAAATTTAACTTATTATTACTAAAAGAAGAGACATTGATAATGTACAATATAAATTGTAATAATTATCTCCTTATGTGACTGGACACTGGATTAGGATTTACCTAAATTAGGCAAAAGATTCCTTTACAATTATCACCTTATTTACAGTGAATCACAGATTTAGTATGCATCTCGGATTATTAGCTTTTTCAGCTTGGCTGTGTAATTTATTATCAATGAATAATTCTATAAGTGATAACTCTAAATTGCTTGTTGCAAATTGCTGCAATGTTGATGTTTTACTTTTTTTTTAAGAAAAAGATCACTTTAGCTAAAAATGAAAAATTGCTCCTCAGACTCATTAGCAGCGTAGAAATAATTTCATCTCCATAAATTTGGAATCATTTCATTTGTTTATATGCAAATACACTGATATATTTCCCATATTTCGTCAAAAGTTCAAATGAAGCTTGTCTACCGTAGAATGAAAATTGCTTACTGTCTCCTTGACAACGCAGTGGACCAACTGCAAGTCTTGCTTCAGATCCTGAACGGCTGGTGTCTCCAACTAATACCTGGCTTACAGGCAGATGACTTTTATAGGCGAGAAGGCCAGTATCCTTTCTCCTGAAAAAAAAAAATTGGTTGGTAAAAGGATGAATTGTTATGTTTGAAAATGTCTACTTATCTTGGCTCAAGCTTTTAGCAGTATGGATGTTGCATCCTTTTGCATATGTGCAAGTACAAAGTACAAATGTCTTGGTAAACATTTTGTATATGCTTTCAAATATAGACCAAAAAGGTAAAGATGTCTTGGAAGTTGCATGTGACATTATTAAATGAAAACATAAGTACTTGGTTTTATTTTCTCACAGTAAAAATTATTTGTCAAAACATTTTACAGTGCTTTTCAAATTGGCCAACCGTCTCTGTTCGATCAGCTGAAACTAAAGGAAAGTGTCCTTGAATTGGCACTGCAGGCTTGGGAAGGAGGCATTCCACCTTTCACTGACTATCAGTCCACAGGGTTAGATCTGCCAGGCCACATATTGAGCTCATTAAAATAGTGTGGTGGAGGCTGAAGCCCTTAATTGGGCTCTGATTCCCTTAAGGGCGTCTAAAGCATGGCAGGAAAGTTGTGGGCCAGCTAGCAGCAAGCACACAGCAGACAACATAGCAATTTAATGTACAGGTCCACATGCCTGTAGTCTTGAATACCTGTAGTCCTTAAGGTGAAGGGACAACTCACAGTGCTATTAAGAAGGAAGTTCCAGGATGTTAACCCAGTGACAGTCAAGGAATAGTAATGTAGCTCCAAGTCAGGACCGAGTGTAGCTTGGATGGAACACATAGATAGATGATGGTGTTCTCATGCATCTGTTGCCCTTGATTTCTAGGTGGTAGAAGTCACAGGTTTTGAAGGGTTTCTCTAAGGAACTTTGGTGACTTACTGCATTATGCCTTGTAGATGGTAACACTGCTGTCACTGTGCATCAGTGGTGAAGGGTGTGAATGTTGAAGATGGTGGATGTGGTGCCAATCAAACTGATTTATCCTGGATGGTTTTGAGTTTCTTGAATTTTGTTGAAGTTTCACATATCCAGGCAAGTGGAGAATATTCTATTATAATCGCCACAGAATTCCTAGCCTCTAACCTGCTCTTTTAACAGAATTTATATGGCTGGTCACAGTTCTTTTTTTTGGTCAGTGGTGGCCCCAAGGAAGTTGAGAGTAGGGTATTTAATGACAGTAATATGATTGAAGTCAAGGCTAATAGTTGGGTTCTCTTTTATTGCAGATGATCACTACCTGCCACTTGTGTGGCATGAATGTTACTAGCCACTTGCCAGCCCAGTCCTGGGTCTTGTAGGGGTTTAGATATGTGTTAAATAACAATTTGTTTTTAAGGGACACAGACTGCTTCAGTATTTGTGGAGTTCTCAATGCTTAACATTGTGTAATCATTAGTGAACTTTCCCCCTTTTGACTTTGTAATGGAGGGAATGTTATTGATGAAGCAGCTGAAGATGGTTGGGCCAACAGCATTACTCTGAGGAATTCATACACTGATGTCCTATGGCTGAGATGATTGACCTCCTACAACTGCAACAATACTCCTTTATACTAGGTATGACTCAAACCCAGTGGAAAGTTTTCTTTCTGATTCCCACGTCTGCAGGTTTGCTGGGGACCCTTGCCGTTACACTCAGTCAAATGCCCTGATGTCAATGACAATCACTCTCATCTTGCTTCTGGGTTTTAGCTCCTTTATCAATGTAATGAGATCAAGTGCTGCATATGTCTGATGGAACCTCAATCAAGCGTCAGTGAATGGTTTAATGTTGCATATGAGCCATTTGGTAGAATTGTTGAAGATGACCTCCATTACTTTTCTGATGATTAAAAGTGGACCGATGGGGCAATAATTGGTTGATTTAGAATTGTCTTGCTTTTGTGGACAGGATGTACTTGTGTTACTTTCCACCCTGTTAGGTAGATGCCAGTGTTGTAGCTGTACTAAAACTGCTTGATCAGGGAGTGGCTCGATCTGGAGCACCATTTTTCAGTACCTATTGCTGAGGTATCACAAGTGAATCTCATCTTGCGGTCATCTGATGCTCAGAGCAGGCTGTTTCTCTCTTTCCACAAAGATCTTAGGATCAATTGAAGAACTGCACCATTAAAGTGCCTGATCACCTAGCTTGACACAGACAGCAATCAAATCTGGCATTTAGTGATTATAAATGGCTTAGTAAGTATTACATTTACCAATTGAGCATTTATGTTGTAGCATAACTTAAAAACTCCAAATATTTAAACATTATGGAATATCATGGGTCTCGAAGCCCAAAGCTGTACAATGGTTCACAAAAATGATTTGAAGATGAAAGGCAATAATGAAATTTATTCTTTCACTGGAAAGACGGTGGCTGAGAGGATAGAGGTCTGATAGACGTCTACAAAGTTATGAGGGGCATAGATAGGGTGGATAGTCAGAGGCTTTTTCCCAGGGTTGAAGTTTCAATTACAAGGGGGCACAGGTTCAAGGTGAGATGGGGTAAGTTTAAGGGAGATGTGCGAGGGAAGTTTTTCATACAGAGAGTGGTAGCAGCCTGCAATGCACTGCCAGAAGAGGTTGTGGAAGCGGGCACATTGAAGACATTTAAGAGGCACCTAGGTGGGTACATGAATATGGAGGGAATAGAGGGATATGGATCAAAAATGGCAGGTTTGGTTTTAGATTAATTAGGGCATGATGGTCGGCATAGGCTTGGAGGGCCAAAGGGCTTGTTCCTGTGCTGTACTTTTTCATTTGTTTTATAATGTTTTTCACTATTATATTATTTTGGTAATCAGATTCACATATTTGTTATTTTCTTAAATGTACTTAAATTGATTTTCTGGATTACATTGTGTAAAATTTCTTGATTCAATATTTTTCGATATACATTTTGTTTAGTTAATGAATTTTACATTCTTATTTGTCACTATCCTTAAATTGTATGCTTAATAGTTGTATGGTTGTGCTAATTAAAAAGCAGGTAAGGAATGATGTGAAATCATTCTAAAATGTTAGTATACTTCATTTGCACATGTTTGGGATGTTCCAGTTGTTGAAGGGAGATCATACATTCAGACACAGCATGAAACACTGGTCACTTTGAAAACATATAATTCTCCTTCCTAAGGCTTGTTTCTTTAATGATTATTTGAATAATTTTTATGGCACATGTACGAGTTACATTAAAGTTGAAAATTTTCCCTGATTACAAGTTCTTAAACATAAATGATGCTTAAATGCGTTAAAATTTAACTTTCCAGTCTCAAAGAAGAAATGTTCTGTTGTGAGTTTGATGGATTTTTTTAGGGCCTCACTGTTTACATTGATTCACATTGATTTGTATTTGGACATGTTCTAATGAGATTTGGTAGATTTTTGTGTGTAATTGGCATCACCAAATTGGTGTATTTTGGGTTGGGTTGCATTCACTGTCACAATACACTTTGAAGTTTTTGTTTTAAGTTTACTATGCATCTGTTTTTGCCTGGGTGAATTGAGGTTAAATACAGAGTAACGCATTTCTTCTTTCCATTCTTGGATTCACTCACTCCTATGCCGTAGATTATTCTGGTCTCGTCTATTTTCTGCATATGTTTATGATAGAACTTTGATCAACGAGCTTTCAGTAAATACAAGACTATCAATGTAGTTCATCCATTCAGATTCCATCACAGCTTGGATGCAACACCATGGGAAGGTAAGAGTTGACATTATAGCAGTATTCTACCAAATATAGCATCAAAGAACCCAACCAAACTAAGAACCGTCGGAGCAAAGGAAATTACGTCGAATAGAAGCAGTTCGCTAACACATAGGAAAATGATGACAGTTTCTGAAGGCTGATTACTGTTGGCCAGGATATTGTTGCAGGAATTCCTCAGGGCAGGATCTCCTTCAACTTTTTAATGACAAAGAATCCCTCCATAATACTGTAAGTTATTGGGCTCATTCCTGACAACTACAGGGAGTAAGTTCCATTCATAATTCTTTAAAAAACAACTTCTAGCCTACAGCAGGTTTACATTACATCTGTGAAGGAAAAGACAGGGAGGGTCACCGGACCCGAAATGTTAACTCTGTTTTTGTTCCTGATTTACAGCATCTGCAGTTTTTTTCGGTTTTTGAAAATATGTCTGTATTTGGACTGCAGTTAAAGTTACATTTTTGCCAGGCAGTGAGCAACTTCAACAAGAAAAAGCCTGACAACCTCTGCTAACCTTTAATGGAACCACCACAACTGAGATATCACTAGTAACACCCTGGGTTGTCCCTTCTAGTCAGAAGCTAAACTAGATCAAGCTAAACAGAACCAGCTACAATCAAAGATGGGAACCCTGTTTTCTTTTCATCTCCACATGATTAAATCCATATCAGGAGATCCTGCAGATGGCTGTACTCTCCTCCCTCTAATTGAAACATTAGCTGGCCATTACTTAGTATTAAGCCAGGAGAGTGGATGCACACTATGTGGCGAGCAAGACAAGCAAAACCCTATGAGGTTTCTTGAGAACTTCCTTGGTGTTCCTCATTCAAAGGTACTCAGTGTGTGATTGAGGGAGTTGGAGTTGTGAGGTTGGGGGTGCCCCTTGACAGCTATACCACTCCTGGCCCTCTAGCCAAAGCTCCCATGGCCATCATCCCAGTGTGGTCTGGGATTCAGGAATGGTAATAGCTCTTGGGTGCATGGTACTGATGGAAGAGATATTCATGTATAGAACTCAGCTGTATGTTGTGAGTAGTCTGCTCCATGTGAGATGATGGCTGGAGACGAGTATGGTTTATGGAATGCAGTGAGCAGTGAGGGCTGAAGAAAATAGTTTCAGTCTTCTCAATGTTTAACTTTAACCAGGATTCAATGTTGGAGAAGTGACCTGGCAATAAAAAGTGGAGGAATGGAGAGAGGTGGTGACAGGGATCTTCATGTCATCGGTGTATAGGTGCAACTGACACGTTTTTGGACAATGCCACTGAGTGGCAACATGTTGCTAAGCAACAGGAGTGTGCCAAAGATGAACCCTTGGAAGGGACTCTGATGGGTGGAGGAGGAAGAAGCTTCACTAACAATAATGGGAAGGTTATTGATAAAGTGAACCTGTATACCCCACTCAAATCTGTGAATACTGTTCTGAGCCGATAATAAGCGTTTGAACCTGGAACTCTGACCCAAGGCAACAGCCCTGATCTAAGGCCAAAATTCCGAAATGAACAGGTATCCCTGACTCAACCCTGTGATCTCAACCTAAGCCCAAATCCTCACCCAAGCCCATGCATCATCCCAAGCCTGTACCCCTGACCAGAGCCCAAATCTCTGACTTGAGTCTGTAACTTTGACCATGTTCATATTGCCAACTTGAGCCTGTAACATTGACCAGAGCCTGTATTTCTGATTCGAGTCTGTAACCCTGGTCTCATTAACCTGGTCACGTTCTAGGGGACATTGCTTCTAGACTGGGTCTGCAGCAGATAGTGCAGTAACCAACAAGAAGGAAAAGCATACTTGACCCCATCCTTACCGATCTGCCTGTTGCAGATGCATCTGTCTATGACAATATCAGGAAGAGTGACCACTGCACAATCCTTTTGGAGATAAAGTCCCATCTTGTGATCGTAACAAGGTCAGCCAGGTGAACTTCATAGCATATGAGTTCCCTGACAGGAGCTGTTAATCTGGTCCAACCAAGGACCCCTGGCTGACAGATATAAAGAAGACTGTCAGAGGGTCTGTTCACTCTGAGCGCTGACTTTGAGGAAGCTGGATCAGTGTCTCGGACTCTCCACATGTGTATAAAAGATGATGTCATACTGGCCTCTGTGGTGTTAGTTTACATCTTCACATTGATAATTCTAAATACTATGCTGTGTGGCAGTGTCACCGTGTTAAATGGGACACATTTCTAACAAATCTAGCAACTCAAAACTGTGCATCCAGGAGGCACTGTGGGCCATCAACAGCAGCAGAACTGTACTCCAGCGCAATCTGCAACCTCATGGTCCGGTCTATTCCTCACTCAACCACTACGATCAAGCCAGGAAATCAATGCTGGCTCAGTGGAGAGTGCAGGAGGACATGCAAGGAGCAGCACCAGGCATACCTGAAGATTAGATGCCAACCTGTTGAAGCCACCAAACAAGACTACCAAACATAAGCAAAAAGTTATAGAGAGAGCTAAGTGATCTCACAATCAACAAATCAGATCTAAGCTCTGCAGTCCAGCCACATCCTGCCATGAATGGTGGTGCACAGTTAAACAACTCACTGGAGGTGGAGGCTCCACAAATATCCCCATCCTCAGTGATAGGAGACTCAAGTACAGCAGTATAAAAGATAAGTTTGAAGCATTCACAGTAATCTCCAGCCAGAAGTGCCAGGTGGGCAATCCACTTCTACAGTGGTCCCCAACATTACAGATGCCAATCTCCAGCCAATTCAATTCACTCTGTGTGATATCAAGAAACATTCGGAGGCACTGGATACTGAAAAGGCTGTGGGCCTTGATAACATTCTGGAAAGGGTACTGAAGACTTGTGCTACAGAATGTGCTGCTCCCCTAGCCAAGCTGTTCAGTGCAGTTCCAACACTGGCATCGAGCTGAAATGTGGAAAACTGCCCAGATATGCCCTGCACATGAAAAGTAGGAAAAATCTAACCCAGCCAATTACCACCCCATCAGACTTCTCTCGAACGTCAGGTAGGTGATGGAAGGTGTCATCAACAGTGCTATCAAGCAGCACCTGCTCAGCAATAACCTGCTCAGTGACGCCCAGTTTGGGTTCCATCAGGGCCAATCAGCTCCTGACCTCTTTACAATCTTGCTTCAAACATGGATAAAAGAGCTGAATTCCAGTGGTGAGATGAGAGTGACACCCTTGGTATCAGGGTCACATTTGACTAATTGCACAGTAAGGAGCCCTAGCAAAACTGGAATCAATGGCAATCAGGGGGAAACGCTCCACTGATTGGAATCATATCTGATGTTTGTGACTGTTGGAGGTCAGTCATTTCAGCTGCAGGACATCTCTGCAGGAGTTCATCAGGGTAATGTTTTAGGCCCAACCATCTTCAGTTGATTCATTATTGACCTTCTCTCCATCATGTTCAGCACCATTCACAACAACAATGATGCTAAAGCAGTCCATGTCCAAATGCAACAAAACCCAGACAATATCCAAAAACTGAAAAGTAATATTTGCACTATATCAATGCCAGGAATGACATCTCCAATAACACATACAATGGCATTAACATTACTGAATCACCCCTTATCAACATCCTAGGGGTTACCATTTACCAGAGACTGAACTGGATTTGTGACTAAACACAGTGACTACAACAGCATATCAAAGGCTAGACTACTATATCGAGTAACTCACGCCTTGACTCCCCAAGCCTGAAAACCATCTACAAGGCTCAAGTCAGGAATATGATGGAATACTTCCCAATTGACTGGATAAGTGCACCTCCTACAACACTCAAGAAGCTTAACACCATTCAGGAGAAAATAGGCTCTTGACCAGTACCACATCAACAAACACTCACTCCCTCCACCACTGACGTTTAGCAGCAGCAGTGTGCACTACCCACAATGTGCAATGCAGAAATTCAGGAAAGATCCTTACAAAGAACATTTTAACCCATGACCACTATCACCCTGAAGGGCAAAAGCAGTAAATACAAGGGAAACCAGCATCTACAAGTTCCTATTCAAACCACCTAGCACCCTGACTTGGAAATATATTGCTGTTCTTTCAGTGCCGCGAGGTCAAAATCCTAGGATTCCCTTGTGGATCTACTTACAGCACTAGGATTGCAGTGGTTCCAGAGGCAGTTCACCACCACCTTGTCAAGGACAACTAGGGAGTGTAATAAAATGCAGGAGCAGGCAGCCGTGCCTACATTCTGTTAGTGAATTTAAAAAAAACAATATGAGACTCCAACTCCCACCCAGATCCATATCTCTAATCCAATCCCATATCCCCAATTTGATCTGTACCCTCAATCCAAGTTCTTAGCTATTCCCCAGGTTACAAGTGCGAGCTATCCTATAACCTGACATAAGCCAGCACCTTGACTCAAGCTCATCACCTAAGCTCAAGCCTGCAACTCTGAACTGAGCCCATTAGCCCGAATCAAGGTTTTTTCCCACAAACAAGCCTGCACCCTCAACTCAAGCTCTTAACCATCTCCCAAGCTCATAACTCTGATCAGGGCCCATATATCCAATCCAAGCCCATGTCTCTAACCCAAGCTTTCACTCTCACCTAGGTTTGTGTCTTTGACCCAAAGCTACAAACCACCTTGAGCCCATTCTCTAACATAAGGCTGTACTTCTATTGAAGCCCATATCCTGACTCAGATCTGTATTCTCAATAAAGCTTTTAACCATGTCTCAAGCTCATGACACTGACCTATAGCCCTCGCCCTGGTCAATAATTCTAACCCTAGCCCATGACCCGAGCCTCAGCCCATCGTCCAACCTAAGCTAATAATTATGACCTGAGCCTGTAGCTCTGAACTGAGCTCATAACTTCAATTCAAGCTTGTAACCCCATCGTAAGCCACTAAACCTGACCTGAACCTTGCAGTCCAAGCTTGTAACCACAACGCACATTAGTACCATGACTTTAGATAGTAAAGCTCGATCCAAGGCTGTACCCCGATTCCAATCCATAATGATGAGCCAGGTCTGTAATTCTCATGCCTAAACATAAGTCTCTATCCTGCGAGACTATATATGTCTGTCCACAGGAGGAAAAACATTTGAGGAAGATAAAAGAATTTCAACACCAATTCTTCAGATATTCACTTTTTCTTCAGCAATGAAACTCTTTTGAAAGACTCAATAACAAATCTGTGAAGAATCTCTCAGGCAGGGTGCATTTAGGATTTAATTCATATAGTTGATGTGAACATTTGCAAATTTCACATGTTAGAGCCATGAATTCTGCCGTCCATAAAATTACAAGTCATTGCTACAATATGATGCTTATAACGTGGTTAATTTACTCACCACTGTTTGGCATCAGCATCACAGTTACAGTAATACTTTGGATTGGTACAATTTCGCTCAATCCCACAAGCACACTTCTGTATTCCAGGGCCAGAACCTCCCCAGTAATAATGCTTCTCGTTTCCTCTTCCTATCCACCAAGTATATGGATTTCCAGCTGCAAATAAAACATAGCAAACACACTAAATTAATTTTGATAATTAACTGCTAAAGCCTTTTTCTAGCTGAAATATCTGTAAGAGTCTTACTGAGTTAGTATCAGAGAAAATAATTGTTTTTGCAAAGCTTGAATCAAACTTTGACTCCACAATTATCAGGTTACATTCAATGGAAGCAAGTATTTTGTATTATACATATCATGTAACATAGAAATGGCCAAATGCAACATTTCTAGACTGAGTGCCCAAATCTATGTTTTTAAGAGACACATGGAAAATACTTGGATGGAGGATTGCAAGATAACAGATAACTGAGAAGCTAGGATGCTTTGGAAATCTCTCCCTCCACAAAAAAAAAGTTTGAGGCTTGATCAGTTTGAAATTTTAAGATGGAATTTGCTAGATTTTCTTGGGCAAAGAATTAAGGATTGTAGAAGGCATATGAATGGAGTTAAAAAGCAGATCTAACATAATGATTGAACAGGCTTGAAAGGCTCAATGACCTGCTTCTGTTCCACATTTTCACAAACCCACAGGAGGAAACCTTTATGTACAGGAGCTGCAACAAATCAGAACTTGTGTGTCAGCTGAAAAATATCATAGTTCAGAGATTATTTTAAGGGGTAGAAATTTGATGTTACAAGAGGAATGCGATTCAAAGGCTAAGAAGAGCAGAATTGAAATAAACTTTTCTTGAAGCATGTGCAGACCTATTTATGAGTTCATTTTCCTTCTTCAATCCTCTATGCAGTTTTGAAAATTTTGGAAGTATCTGGAAAATGTAGCCAATGTTATGTTAAGAAGTGAGGCCTTATAACACTGATAGTTAAAAAAAGGGTGAGGTATTTAAAAACAATTGGCATAACTTGGATACTGTAACATGTATGACTGAAAAATGATGAAGCAATTGTTCATTACCTCATAGTGCTATTAATTAAGAATTGCATAGTGATAGCATGGCTAAATGTAATTGAAGAATCCAAAATGTATGGTGCGAAGCATTTTAAGCGATCGAGAAAGAATGTCCATTTATATACCATACCTTGTGAAATGTGAATTGCCTTACTGTTTATGAAGGTCACATCACAAAAGCCTGAAAAATAGCTTGCCTCAGTTTAAGGAGTTCTACCTTGACCCAGCTACCTCCTATGTCAATGGATTTGAGGCAGAAAAGACTAGTACCCCACAGGTTATTACATATTCATTAATAATTAGCTAGGGTTGGGTGCATATGTTTCATTACACTTTCATTACCCTGGAATGCAGCTAATACTATGGCATGAGTATGTTTGAAAGATTCACAGAGATATGATCTTGTTCAGATAATGTTGCTTCCATCTCACCAGTTGTGCTCAGAAACTTAATCAAATCAGTGAAAAAGTGAACTCGGAGTGTTTTCCAGTCTCACTACTATATGAATCGCTGATGCAACTCACAGCATAGAAAGGATATAACAGGTCTCATCAATAAGGTATTGCTAGGACAAATAATTTGTAACAGCAACAGCCCACTTTGGAGGGAATCACAAAATTTTTAACACTATTGTCATGTCAGCACACACTTCTATTACAAAAGAGAATTGAGCTAGGTATAAAACAAGTTACCAGTTTGCTATCATTCATTTTTTTGCCAGGTTATAAAACTTGAATTTACTCCCAACAAGGGAGTACTTTGACACACTCACCTCAGAACAGGGTCACACTCGGTGGATTGTGTCAGCAGCAGACATCATAGATCAAATGGGAACAGCAAAAAGGCTGGCAATGTTCAGCATGAAATGAAAACAACACTGACAAAGGTCTATGAGATCTTGCAGTGCTCCATTCAAATGTTAGCATTCTCTTTGCTGCAACAAATTACTTGCTTGAGCTGTTATATTAAGGAAGTCGAACAGAACTATGGAGTAAGAAAGCCACAAGAAGAACCATGTACAAGTATTGATACGTTGAATTTCAGTTTGTGAATGACAGCTTCATTTCCCTGTTGGAAGGGTCCAATCTGTAATCCTTAAGTCATGTGCCAATGTTATATGAACAATAATTTTCTTGTCAGGATTTAAAACTATTGCTGCATATATGAAATACCTGCTCACCAGCTCAAAGAGCCATTTCTGATGGGAATTAAATAATAAAATCTATCCACCTTCCTTCTTGAATTTCTTGCAATAAAAGAAAATGTGAATCTAAACATGATGGTAATAAAATTCTTTACTTGCTTTCGAATGACAAAGGAGAACAGTGATTGACTGGTTCTTCTGTAAAACATTTAATTCATGTGAATTTGCAACTGAATTTCGTGTCACGAACAACATTCTCTTCCGAGTAACTGTTTGTTATATGATATCAAGTTTTACTTATCAATATTGCATTCAGATTGTATAATATGGGAAATTGTCAAATTTCCCATATTATACTATATTTGCATAATAGTATTACCTCATTTGTTAAGCAGTAGAATTTTGTAAAATAACTGACGGATGCCTCTGGCTTTGATACAACGAGTTCAGAGCCTCATTGCTGTTGAGGAAGAGGCCATGGCCCAGATTATTGACTATAATTATACTGTGATTATCCATTTTAAAGGGAAACCTTGTTTTGGAATAAAAGATAGTTATATGTAAATTTGTCCAACTCATTTCCAATGAATTGCTTCGTTGATAACCAACTCCTTTACCTAGACTAACTGTGCTAACAGAATGAATGGATTATTAGATGAAATGTCCTGCTGCTTATGATTTTATTAAATATTTACTAAATCTTTTTCAGATGAAACTAGCTTCTTCACATGGATACCACTTAGCCAATGTCAAAGTAATTTGTGTTTTGATAGATTGAAACATAAGGTCTACTGACGAAATCAGATTCTCTTAGGTGTCCCATTACACTGTACATAAAAGATTAAGCTGTGAAGTTTCTTATGTCAGTGTTTGCCACATGGTTAGTATAATCACAATAGGTACAGATAAATAAAGAAACAATTGGACTCTGCTATTATGATGCACTGATTTTAAACGTGTGAAGAACATAAGGAAGAGGAACAGGAGTAGACAGTAAGGCTCCTTGAGCCTGCTCTGGCATTTCATAAGATTGTGGCGAATCAGATCATTGAAATCACAGAAAATGTATAACACAGAAGGAGTTCGCTCAGATCACTGTATCCGTCTTTCTGGCTTCAGCTTCATTTTTTTTTCTATTCCCCATCACCTTTGAAGTACTTGTGACTCAAAAACCTGTTCATCTTAGTCTGAATCTATTTAATGAATCAGTCCTCACTACTCTCTGCCAAAGATTCAAGGATCTTTAAGAGAAAAATTCCTCTTTTTCATTTTAAACAAATAAATTCTAATTTTAAAACTATATCCTGTTGTCCTACTTTCCCCAATGAGGGTAAACATCTTAGCAACTACTCTCTCCAACGATATGTTTCCATGAGGTTCTTTCTTATCTTTCTCAACTCAAATAAGTATCAGCTCAATCTATGCCACCTTTCCTCATAAAACAACTCCTCTATGCCAGGTAGCAATCTCAAGAACCTTTTCAGGAAAACCAAAACTATATGCAGTACTCTGGGTGTGGTCTCACGAGTGTCCTGTCCAGTTGCAGCAAGACTTCCCTGCTTCTTTAATTCATCCCCCTTGCGATTAACAAGCTATTTGCCTTCCAAATCACCTGTCAAACCTGCATATTGTTCTTTTGTAACTCATGTGCATAGACTTCCAGATCTCTTCCTCGAACTGCCTGTCTCAATTTAAATATTGTTTTGGTTTTCAATCTTTCTACCGAAGTGGATCATCTCACGTTTTCCAAATCTGTCAACTGTGTTGCCTACTTGTTTAACCTATCTATGTCCCTTGGCAAACACTTTGAATCATCCTGACTACCTGCCTTCCTGCATATCTTTGTATTGTTAAAATACAAAGGCAAGGAGGAGTGAAGTGGTGATTTTCTTTTTAACACTCTCAATTCTTGCCAAGAAATATTTTAAATTATTTTTAGTAAGTAGCCATATCACACTTCAATTAAAACATTGTACTTTTCAAAATTAAGGAACCAATTTCAAGTTTTTCTTGCGTTGAAGAAAAGAGAATTTTATTATTTACTAACTTAGAATCAAATTATAGAATGTGATATCTAGCACACAAAAAAGGTATAATGTTTAGTAAAATAGAGAATGTCAAGGATTACAGAAAGATAAAGAATGTACAGTTTAAGACATTTTTAGAGTCCTTCAGTTGTTATAACCTGAGGTCACAATTGCTTAATGGATATCTTATCCTCAGCAGTGGTGAAATCTGTAAATATTCATGAGTTCTCAATGAATAGATGTTTATCCAATTTATTTTATCACTGGGTACTGTTTATTGAGAGGCTGTGTGATGTAGTCAGGGAGAAATAGAGAGTTTTCCAGTTCTGTCTTACAAATCCTTTTCTCGCCTGCTCTACTAAGCATTATCAAACTATGTCTGTTTGTTTTCAAGTCTGGCTCAATTGTCTATTTGAGCTGGATTAAGTGAGTAACCCTTTAATGTCTAGTATGAGTAATTTCTCATGCAAGTATAAATTAAAGCATGTCCTCCACATCTTTAGAAAACTATGGCAATTTTATTTGGATAATTTAGTTTCTTCCACATTAGTTTCCTGAACTTGCCTTAATCTGTGGTCAGGTGGTTGCTGTAGCCATTTTAAGTCCATGTTTTTTCCTTTTAAAAACATTTTTGTCCATAACAGTCTAAGGTATTAAAATTAGATGATGGAAGTTGAAATTGATATTCTGTATTTTACCACTAATGTGGTAGTATCATCAACAAATTTTGCTATAATATGCTTGGTCCCTTCATCTAGAATATTAATACTGTGGCATAGACACTGATCCCACTATCGAGTTTCCCAACTTGAAAATGACGCATTTATCCTAATCCCTACTCTTGCTGACTGGCCAATCCTCCATTCATGCTAATATATTGCCATCAGCACCATAAGCTCTTATTTCTTTAGTAACC